GAGTGTATCAGGAGTCAGGCCTTCAGGGTAGAATTACAAACAAATGCAAATTGCAAACTTACTTTGCATTTTCAATCCAGATTTGCAATTCTTCATTTGATATCCCTCCGTTCATGCTCGTGTAGTCACAGTAGCTTGAGATATACCAGGCTGTTTACTAATATCAGACTCTTGGGCTGTTCATGGGGTCTCATCAGAGGGGCGTAGATCCTTACTTTATACCTATTATTCAGGGGGGATGAATGAATAGATCATCCCCCGTGACCAATAGGTATTAAGTAAGGATCTACGCCACTGGCCTGGGTAGCTAATTCTATTGATATGAAGCGTGAATTTAGGACATGTGTTACAGAGTTTGAAAGCAAGAATGTGATGTGTACATCTATCTTTTCCCACTTGTCTTAGCCCATACCAAAATAAGTTCCTGGCAAGCAAATTTAAGATTTTCTGAGCCAAATTAACTACTGTTCCTGGGCCATGTTTCATAAAACTTGTTATCAATAACAAGTTACAAAAACTGTAATAAGCTGCTGAAACCATGGCATTTGATTGGCTGAGAGCAAATTCTTCATAGAATATTAGCATTTGTTATTGATAACAAGTCTTATGGAACAGGGCCTGGGTATATATCATCTGCTGCAAGCCAGACAGACATTTACTCCATTCTTATACAGAGAAAAATGTCCTTTTGGCTCTCAATATCTGTTCTCCAGTGGAAATTCTTATACTCATTGTTCACTTCAAAATTATAGATATATATATATATATATATATATATTTCTTCTTCTTCATAATTCATTTTTTTAAATACATTTTTCATTTTGTATGTATTTATGTATTTATTTATTATTGTTATTATTATTTTCATTGGGGGAGGGGGGGGGGGGTGATTTGCATGGTTGTACAAAGTTATAATACAGAAATGACCCTGTGTAACCCTTCATCATTATTAACTGCTGTTGATATCATTTTATCCCGAAAAAGTGGAGTGCCATTTTGTCAATAACAGCTGAGTTATTAATCAGCTTGTGTCTCGCTAATCACTGCATTTTGCAGGATTTCTAATCATCATTACATTCCTCTGTTTTTAGCATGTGCAGCATATGCCCACATCTACTCACTAAAAATTAACTTCTCTAGATCTATGGCCACTATGTTAATGTTAGGGTTTGTTGATAACTTTTTCATTCAGCTTGCAGTCATGACAAATTTAGTTTGGGAAATGTGTTTCCATTAGTTTAAGAGCTAAGTTCTTAGTTCGTAGAAAGTGATCATTAAAGGCCATGACTTCAGGTTTTATGCATTATGTTGTGTGATCTTCGTTCATTTTCTTGTCGATTATCGCATTTGATTAGTCATTTGAATGATTCCTGTAAGGTATTGTTTTATCAAAAGATGGAACACTAAATGTAAAACTTCAAGAATACTCAATAGGTGCCTTTTTATCTGCTTCAGTTCATTCATCATGTTATTTACTGCCTTTCTATCTAGTATCTTGTGCTGTTCTGAAAATGTTCTCATGATTTGTTTGTATCCATCAGTTTTGGAGTCTAGTTAAAAATATTTCTGTCATCAAGCTGCTGCTCCCAGTACTGTGTGTAAAGAAGAGATTTGTGTATAAAGAATAAACATGCATACAATGACACTGTCTGTATGCTTAATGCCTTATAGGTTTTGAATTCTATTAAAAGTACTCATTTACTTTTTTCCACAATTTACCCTCTTATTATGCAACTGTTGTTTGTTAAAAGTCTTTGCATAGTTGTGCTCTGTGTAGATCATGAGTAAGATCTTGAGAGAGTGTAGACTGTAGAGTATTCATTCTTTTTGTTTGGATAAATTTTCCAGGTTCTGTCATTCAGATTATTACTTCATTTATTTACTATATTAGTAAATATGTTTGTGGATATAGACTCACCAGGGATGGTTATGTGGAGTGTGTATACGCTTCATAGATTTATACAGCCGTGCAGATAGTCATATGCTAGACGGGAATGGATGGAATAGGTTTAGATGAGAGGCAGGAATAAAAGAAGAGAGAGAGAAAAAGAGTAGGATAAGAGATGGGTCAAGAAAGAGAGAAGGGGATAGATCAAAAGAGAGTCGGACTGGAGACAGAATAGGGGAGAGCCATGAGAGAGTGAAAGAATGAGGAAAGCTAAAAGAGAGAGAGAGAGTTGAAGAGGTAGAGATGGTGGGAAAACCATAAGAACAAACAGATAGACAGGGGGAGAGGAAGAAAGAAGAAGAATACGAGGAAAGAGAGAATAGGAGTAGAAGATATTTTTTGGTTTTTTTTTTGTTGCAAAAATGAAAAGAAAAAGTGAAAACATGGGGTATCGAAAACCAAGTAACATCTAGAAAAAATTAAATCACTTCTTTTATAATTCATCCTCCTTCTTTGATTAGATATATCGTCGCTGTTTTCACGAAGTGACGGTAGTGAAAAAAAATTGCATTCACTTTGCGTTATGATTTTCCTCACTACCGTCACTTCGTGAAAACAAGGACGATATATATATAGGCCGACATCTTTTCAGGTCATACACCAATACCAGTGTAATACCAGTCATCTTTAATGAGAAAATCAGTCTATTTATAGCAGCCCACCTCTGAATATCTTGCAGACAATAGAGCCCTTTCATATCAGAGACAGGTTCCAGATCTCCCCTGACCTCAAACAGAAGCTCATATGTCATCAAGGTGCATTGATACACAAGTGAACTGAAGTAATCAATCCAAACATATGTAGCTCTCATAGGCATAGTCAGGGGGAGTAGAGGGGCCATGACCATCCCCCCCCCCCTATTTTTTCATCTGCTACAAAAAATGTGGGTCAAGATTTTAACCCTGCTCCAGGTGTTTTGGAGGGACTATGATTTTGTGTCTCTAGTCCACCCCCCCCCCCAATCAAACATTTAACAATTCTGGCTATACACTAATACTATATAGAGTATAGTCAAGCTTGAATCCATCTAGTCTCAGACTGGGTCCATGTCGTGCTTGCTTTTCTGACTATAGGTAGATGTGTGTCTTTTTTTTAGAATACAATTTTGTAGAGCTCATAGAAGATTTAAAAGTGAAAAGAGAGTTGATATCTAGACCCACTATATACTGAACAAGTTATTAGTCAGCTAGGAATATTCAAGTCATTTTCAAAATGACAACAATTGAATATCTAAAGAAAAAAGTGTCACGACTTTAACATCGAACTCATTTTTCAGATGAATAAACAAAACTTGGCGACATTATGTTATTAACAAAACATTGTTCAATTCATTGTACTGTTGCAAGATGCACCTTGTTGAAGACAATTACTCCCATTTCCCATTGTAAATATGTTTAACGAGCCCGGTATTCAGAAGGGCCATTCCTGTGGTTCTGTGTACAATGTCTTTTATAGGGAATGTGTAAACATTTATACTGGAGGCAAATTTAGAGTTTACTGTTTGCAGGTCGAGGATGGTGACCTAATTTAGAGTAGAAGTTTTGTTGAAAAGGGGTTCTCAATGGAGGGGTCAAATATAGCCAGATACATATAATGCATTGATTTAATTTGTATGAAGAACGATGAGTGTGGGAACTGAACTGTAATGCAATTAATTTCAAATATGAAACCTTGCAAATAAATAAAGATGTCCACTATTTTCACAGTAAAAAACTATCATGCTTTGTACAAATTCATCGTTGTATTAATTCAATCACTCAAGAAGCATATATTATTGCTTTTCCAGTATAGTCCAGTACCTATATTAAAATCTCCCATTTTACTTTTTTTTTTTTTTAACCCCCTCCCTATCAGTCCAACCTGGCCCTTTCTATCCGGCCCTCTCTCTATTTCTCTCACTCCACAATCATTCTCTTTCTCTTTTAGTTTTAACCTTTCTTTGACCTATCTTTGACCTTATTCTCTTCTTTATAAGTTCCCAACAACCATTGTTAGAAATGTGTAAGCTGCTTGTCACTTCATAGGTTTCAGAGTTCAGGAATAGACCAGTTTATCCCAGAAAATTGTGTTCTTTGGACACAATACGTGATTACCTGTCGGATGTGCTTTCATGCACTCACTGTAAGGCTGAATCTATCTCTTGATCTGATCTGAAGTATATTCATGTACATGCAATCAATCTCTATACAACAATCTTTATCTCTGTGACATATGCATGGGTTTCTATCAGAATATTGAAGTGTACTTGAAGTACATACATTCCCAGGCATACTGCTCTTGCCCCATTCTGTATGCTATATGTCCCTGGTAATCAACTTGAGTCTATGTTATAGTAGGCTTGTAAACAACACATGCAAGCATTCATCATCATAATATCTTCACCAGATAGCATGAAGCACAAGGATATAGCACCCCCCCCCCCACCAAGTTTCAATCGATTTATAAATGTCCGTTCATTGCTGCACGTAAATCTTTGTCATCTCCCCCCCCCCCCCCTCTCTCTCTCTTACTCCCTCCCCTCGTCATACTCTTCTTCCCTTCTCCTTCTATCTCACATGCACGTGGTAAACATCACCATTCATATTCTTCCAAAGGGCCACACCCATACCTGTGGCAAGCAAGCTAGATTGATCTCGACACCATTCACTTTCACATTCACAATTCTAAGAGATGAATGAAAGTGATACTGAATGGGCGTTGGTCTTAAAAATGCTTTGGTAGCTAGCCAACGGTCACACCTACCTACCGATATCACATTTGTTTGCGTCAGTGATAAAGGTTAGTAAGTCAAAGTACCCTAGCTGCAATGGTTGTATAGTTGGACAACACATGCTCCTTCTACAATTGCTCCATGGTTAATTTCCTACACAAATCACATTTTCAACTACAAACCTGGGCCCCAACAATATACATAATGCTAACCCTAACCCTAAAACTAACCTAAAACCAAAATATAAACCCCAGCCCTAGGCTATGGTAATCATATCCATAAAGTATTATTGATGAAATGAAACGTACAGTATACCGGTATGTTGCCGAAGTATATGTTGGATCACTAGATGCATAATTTTGACTAGAAAAGTCTTCTGTTTAGGTTTATTTTAGTACAGAAAGAAGCAAATGATTAGTAAATGCCTTTAAATGAATGTGAGGTGAAAATTAACACTAGATACTTTAAACACTATTTTTAGATACCTAAATAAATATAACCAATGGACACAAAACATGACACAACTCTGGATATCAAATTAGGTTACATTGTATAATGGCATTGTTTTATAATGATTCAGATACAGCTGTGAGTAAAGATGAACTACAGAGAATAATAATTTTGTTTACACATGTAGATCAGACGAGCCAAAAAAGGAAAAGCAAGGAAACGGTACATTGATCCAACACCAAAATAATAACATATCTTTAAAAAAATTAATCGAAACCATAATCATAATCATATTAATGGTTAAAAAAGCAAAAAAAATATTATATTACATTTATTACGAAACTAAAATGTGAAGCAGACAGAAGCAGTGTTAACTTAATGAATTGATGATAATAATATCAAAGCAAATATACTACAGACAGTGATGTAATAGTTTTGCATCAGTGACAAAATAACAATTGTGATAGCTGATCTTTACAGGTAATGCATGACCTCAAAATTTCCATACTGGTGTACAGTAAGACACATAAATCTATTTCTCAATCTATTCATTTCTTTATATTTTTGTTAAATCAATCATCCTTTTCTTGAATGACACAATAATTAAGTACTTTTTTTGTCAACAATACGACATTAACTCAATGTAAGGTACGCCTTGAACAGTTCTACAGATTCCATTTGGTTTTATAGTACTTATCACCTTAGTACAGTTTAAAAGTACTGGATATTGGAAAGGTTTTCCTGAATGCCTCTTATATAATTGCATGTCAAGATCTATCTTTTAGAAGAATCTAAATTTCAACTCTTCAAAGCAGCATATGTTGAAGCCATAAGAAAAGGGTCTATGCCACAAAATAATACAGATGGACACTTACCGGTATCTTAATGAGAACTAAATAACAACAGTAAGTCTCACATGAATTTTGTAAAGAACATAGGCTACATGTGAAATTGTGATGTGCCTTTTGAGACTAATATTTTATGACAACAAAAATGAATAATTCCACTTTATAACTCTAAGCTGTACCATGTGAACAGTACTAAGTTACTGTAGGACCATGAGGTATTTAGCAACTTAAGGCTAACATAATTTGAAAAGGAAGGAAAATAAAACAGAAATTGTGCACTACTATATAATAGGCCTACCTAACTAAAAATGAAATCATATAGTCTCTGTACACATGAATATCATCAAAAACTAAATGTTAACATTAATTTTGAATAGAACAACAAAAATGAGATAATCCCACATATATTTTGAAGGAAAAAAAATATCAGTGGATCAGAAAAATCGACATGATTTTCAAATTTCCACAATGTGTATAGACCAAGAGAATAGAAAAAATAACACCATTTCATCACAAAAAAGCCAAATCATAGGCAAATACATATACATCATTTTCTTGTTAACTTTTAAAATCAAAGTGCAATATCTATTTACAAGATTAAATACCAAAAAAAAGGCTTTACATGTAATGTACATAACCTAGACTGAATTCTGAGCTAACTGATATACCAATCATTAAATATCACCTTCATAAAGTCATTCGTTCTCACTTTTCGGTGATGGTGGGAAAATTTAAAAAGGAAATATCTACCACAACCGCTTAAATTAGCATCAATCATTTTCAAAGAAATATATTTTTACAGAGTAATAGACAGTGATAAAATAAAGATCAGATAGTGCTATGTTTTAATTATAAACATATCATAAGTCATATCCTTGAATTGTGCTCCCAAATCATATTTAATTTTGTCTTATACCAATCCTGCATCTATCTAGATTAAAATACAGTAGAAATACCAATACAATCTACATTTCTTGTAAAACAAATTGATGAGTTGATTTACCATATTGTACCATTTTTTACAAAGTCTTCCTTGTACAAAAAAAGTTGTCAACCATCCAACATTGCTTAACTTTGCTCTTTCTCAAATATGTAAGAAACAAAATGATCCATTGGTACAACTTAAAATAATACTTCAAGGCAATTAGCATTTATGTCTTGAACATCAAATAAACAATCAGTCAACTTGAGTCAAGTGATATATGTAATTTTCCCTAATAATCCACAATCAATTTGCCAATAGTATTTTGCGTAAACATAGCAGAGTATTATTGATAAGTACATGCTAAAGGTCTACAGTATGACAATATGATCATCAAATACTGCAGAAATGAATGTTTGTACAGCATTTTAAAGGTTGGTTATTTGACTGAAGAGATCTTAATCAAACAAACAACAATATAGGCGTGGTATACTGAAGTGTAGCCCAAACTTCCAAGTCAAACTCTACATGCTGATACACGCATTCATATGTATTATTCTCTACGATGCATTAAAAGAATACAAACAGCCTTCATTTTTTGACAATTTTTACATTTTCCATAGCATTTGAACTTAACAAAAAGTAATCATTTGAAAACCCTTCCTTTTTCTCCACAAATATAATCGTCCCTGTATACATTTCCCAAACAGCTTTACATGTATGTGATACATGTACAATGTAGATGTTTTTCTTACTCTGTAATATATATACATATATATATATATAGTTTATGTTTATTACACCTCATGATGGCTAGTGCATGTAGATACAGTACAAGCTCTGTGTATATGACTGGTTTAAGTAGGGATGCTTTATAGACAAATAGGCTTGTATCAAAGAAATATGGAATACATGACAAACACAAAATAAAGCATGAGAAAATGTAATGATCTGATTTTCATCAATTTCAATGAATAATACAATATATGCATAATACAGAGATCAAGGCAGCCGCCTTATCAAAATGCATGGAGAATGATGTACACCTGCATAACATTATATAATGAAATATATCATTGACAAATGATGACCACTTTAAGTTGAAATTTATAACTCTGGAGAGAAACTCTGGAGAGAAACTGGTTATTTTCATTCAATATGTTTACACGTCAGAAGTAATTCAAGAATTACAGATTGGCTTCCCCTCTCGATTTGGCACTGTTATTTCTCTGATTATCAAAACGCGGGTACATGAAAGTGGTTCCCAATGAAAAAGCACTCGCGGTAAAAACAAAATCCCTTTGATGACGACTCATTTACATTTTAAATGACTAGTTCAATCAAAATAACAGAATACACAAAAATGTACAAGTACATCACTGTCTTTGGTTTTGCATCTAAATATTATAGCTCTTGTGGCAGGTATTGTGTTCGAAGTCTGAGAATTGCATACAGGTTTATAGCATAGTGACAATTTTAAGTCAAATTATGGAACAAGGCCACAATATTTATCTCAATTCATCTACATGTATGTCTAAAAATCTATTAAGGGTTTGAAAGGCAATTGTTTAAGTCATTTCCAGTTTTCAAATATCTTAAATTGTTATCATGTGTACTGTTATCATAATACATGAAGCTAACTATCATATATGATGGATGGATGAAGTTGAAATATAAAGGTTACAAGTTAGATTAGGATAAAAGCAAATAATATAATGAAATGTTTACATCTTAGAAGCTATCCTATTCGAAAGGTATACTGCCATGAAAAACAGAATACCAAAAACTGTTGTAATTTTCTGTTAAGTGTTTGGTTAGAATAGTATCTTAAATCTTGGTGCCTACAAATAATCTAATTGATTTTTCTCCCCTATCCTATACTAAATCAAAACATATATACTTGATAAGTTGATATTATATATCATGTACATTATCATGTCAAAATTGCAATTCAATGTTTCGATTGGTAAACGGTAGGTGTTATATTCAATCTATTAATCCATATCCCAAAGTTCCCACGCAAATACATTCAAGTCATATACCACAATTTCAAGACATAATTTACAACGGAACATAAATGCATATTTCATATTATACATGCACATGTTTTTCAAATTTCAGAACCATTGATTTTAGTCAAAAGAAGTCTATTTTTCGTTGACATGCTGCCATCAAGCACAGTAGCGGACCTGTCCATTTGAACCATTTGGAGATGGCTATTTTTCACTGAAACTGAATTTCCAAATGAGTTTAATCCTGAGTTTTGGGCTTAGTTTAGTTTTACAAGATGACTAATCATGACATTAAGAATATACACATTTCAACTGAATCAAATAACAAAAAAAGGCTACTATTTTGAATACCTGTAAAGTTGCCTTAAACTAAATAATCGTACCAGTAGGTAATTTATTTAAAGGCCTAGGGGAATCAGTGACAATAATGATATTAGATTGCTGTGGATCGTAGCATTTTATCCACTACATGCTCATGGTGCTCCAATCTATATGAAATAGCCACTCACAATGGCAAATTACTACAACATAATGTAGAAAGGCATATATTTTACAGTGTTGGTTCATGACTATAGCAATCTCATTCATGTCTACTTGGTGGATTTCATCTTTGTAATCATTCTCTCTTCCCCTCTCTTCCGTTTGTTGTTTTCGCCAATTTTTGTTGCAGCCACTTGACAATGTTATGATTTCATGACCACAAAGCGGTAGGTGTTGAAGACTTCCTTTTCGTCGTACTTGATGATGTGGTAGACCGGTGTTTCCTTCCAGGCATCTAGATACCTCTGAACAGCATCAAAACCGTCCATTACTCCTTCAAACTAAAAACAAATACAAACACACAAAAAAAAAGGTATGAGAGAGAGTCAGACCATCAAATCCACACAAAATTTGGGCCAAAATTGAAAAATCAAATTTTATCAACCTACTTATAGCTGAGAAGCCAAATATGTAGCACTTTATACATACACTGTATCTAATACATCTGGATGTAGAGTAGCAAATGTAGAATAATGTCTGATCAAATAACATCAATGCTAGACGAGGTTTAGAGGCTTCAAGCCCTTTAAACCTCTTGATTGAAAGTCAAGTGAATGAACTACTGTAAAGCCACAAAATTTGAAACTTATACAATAGCCATTTTTCTTTATGTCACTTGTGGAACTGTGGTTTAATTGTTGTACAGGGCATAAAGTTTCATGAAATCCTGGAGTCTTCTGGTCAAGCAAAATTAGCATTTCATGCATGTAAAAGTTTCTGGTTTATAGTACAGTCAAACCTGCTTTAGTGACCACCTGTATAGAAAGACCACATTCTTTTGTTTTCCTTGATAATGGTTTATCATCGAAACATATACTAAAGAAACCTGTCTACAAAGACAGTGTCTACAAAGACCACTTTTTGTGTTTTCCTTGGCCGGTCGCTATAGACAGGTTCGACTGTACACTGTACACTATGACACTGCTACCTCCATTACCTTGAAAAATTTGCATGCGACTTCCACGCGATGCAGCTTTGGCAGGAGATCGCAGTCTGCTAGCGTGAAGTTATCACCTTCCAGGCAACGTCCAGGAGACAGTTCATCATCTTCAGAAGTATCCTTCAAGAAATCATCAAGCTTTTTGAGCTCTCCCCTTAATCTGTTGATTAGGACTTCCTTCTTGGATTTGTCCTGGTTCTTCATCAATCTGAAGGCAAAATATATATATATTTAAATAGTTTTAGAAATCATTTTCTATAATGCATAGAATTATCAAAAAGATATCCATGTAATAACATTTCAATAGAGGATTGAGGATTGCAAGGTTTCTGCAAGACAAATGATTTCAATGATTCAATCTATTAAAGAAATTCAGAATATTCTCATCTGGCTGGCAAACTTCCATTCATTTATAAATAGGAAGCTACATGTACACAATCTTCTTTACAAGTAAAAAGGAAGTAGATAGCAAATTTCATTTCATCCTGTGATCTGAAAACTTGTTGATGCAAAGAGAATTTGAGGCTTAAGGAGAACTGTGGTTCTGAAACAATTAACGAACACTTTGTGTGTACCTGTAATCAGATAACCAAATAACGGTAGTGAACTTTCAACCTGGTCTCGCTGATACAATCCGAGATGACCAAAAGGATTCTAGGACACCTACCCCTTGGACATCCATCCCCTGGATAACCACCCCCAGTCAACTATCCCCAAACAACTACCCCGTACGACAACCATCCTCTAGGATAATTAACCCCGGACAACTATCCTAGGGGGTAGTTTTCTTGGGGAAGTTGACTGGGGGTGGTTATGTGGGGGGGGGGGGGGGGGGTGTTAAGGTCCTTGGGGTAGGTGTCCGGATACGGACCAAAAGATACCTAGCAGAAAGAAGACAGAATGACCACCCCTGATACTCACGCTGAGAATTTACTGAAGATGTTTGAGCCGACCTTCTTAGCGGCTGGGTTGGCATTCTCCAGCTTGGGCTGGAATACAGACTCTAGGTAATGCTCTGCCTTGATGATATCATCGATCACCTTGCCAAGAGCGTTGTCTGTCTGAACATTCGGATCCACTAGAACAGGAGGTGGTGTGTTTCCTAAGTACAGAAGAGATGGGTACTGTTAGGGTGTGTTCACACTTACAATTTGAATTGGTTACAAAATCATGACTAAGTTTTCACTACACTTATAAACTCTTGATGACCTTGCCAAGAGAGTCGTTTGTCTGAACGTTTGGGTCCACTAGAGCAGGGGGCGGTGTGTTTCGTAAGTACAGAGGAGATGGGTACCGTAAGGGTGTGTTCGCACTTACAATATCCATTGGTATTATAAAATCATGAGTACGTTTTACTACACGTATAAACTCTCATAAAGTTGCAAGGAAATATTGATTTAGAGTGAACTGGGAAGGAAAGAAGAAAATGTATTTCCTTTCATCACTTGGCAAGATGACATGGCATATACATGTAGGGAAGAAATAGTCAAACCAAATTATGTACATGTACATGTATACAGTGCAAAGATTAATCAAAATCTGTAATCGTAATTCTTTCATCAAAATAACAAAGATGAGATACATATTCAAGAGTAAATGAAGGTCACTAGTGAAATTAGTTTGAGTTTGAAAGTGGAAAAGTAGGAAACTTTACAGGAAAAGTGTGCAAGGTGCATGTACAGTTGGACCACAAAAGAGCTACATGTACGTGTGAAGATGCACTGTGATGTGTTCATTTAGAGGAGTATAAAAACATGTTTTGGATTCAAGCCAAATCAAATATAAAAGAATGTGACTGCTAAAGATAGAATGTATCAGTATGAAATCACCCATGCTCGCCTATAATTTTGTGACACTTTACAGGTACAATCTTATTATGAAACATAAAATGTACATGTGAGTTCACAAACTTCAACCATCATGCAGAAAAGGAACATTTATATGCTGAATACTCTCATGTGCCTGTACATGTATTTACAGTATACTTTTATCAACATTTCTTGTATTCAATGGTCTGTTAAGATTGGAAATGTGAAACATGAACTTTTTGACTAAAATGACTTTTGTTATCATTCTAGCAGTGCCTGACAAACATTTTCTTTTCTTTGAATCAAACCAGGCATGAAAATAACTATTCTTAATTTTAAGAACCTGTGTGGTTTAATAGATGAAAGAATCTTTTTAGTACCGGTAGTTCAATTGCTTGCTAGTTGCTAATGAGGATTAATACCTTAATACCTGGTTATGAAATCACTGCTCTAACTTTGAGCCATTATATTTAATGTTTCACAATCCCAGGGACCTTATCATGATTATTTGGCCATGGCGGGTCTGTTAAACTCATATGACCTTTGTTTCTCAGATAGATGCTTTCTACATGTACATGTACACTGTACATGTACGTTTCCAATTCAGAGAATATAAACACACAAATGGCTGTGCACACACATATTTTGTAATGTACAGTACATACATTTAAATAACAACTCAAATCTTTTCCCAGATCCAAGGAACAGTTAAATACTAACGGACGATACTCAGTACCAAAATGAAGGGAAAATTATTCTCCTGATCTGCTGAAAAAATATGAAAAGTACATGTAGGCCAACATGTACTTTTTATGTACAGGCCCCCACTTCATTCTCATGTACAATGTAGATGTACATGTACATGTACCGGTATCTTGGTTACTCAATTTAAAGAAATAAGGTAAAGTGTATATTGCAAGAGCTCTACAATTTGTTTGTTTTAATTCAAAATAGGTTTACAGTATGTTGTTTAAATATTAAACTCACCTAAGATTTTCTTGTATTCTGCTGGTAAGATTTCCTTATTTACTGTGCAGACTTGATATTTGATTTTCTTCAAGACAATGATCATAAACAGCCGCTGGCACAACGGACAATCTGCTATCTTGGAAGTTACTCCAGCCTGTTTCAATGACAAAAAGATAAATCAAAGTTAAAAGTACAAGTACATGTACATGTATGCAGTATTCATCACTTTGATGGGATTGGTGTTATAATATTATTGGTGATGATTAGCTTTTCTGGAAAATCAAGAAAATTCCTCAACATTTCAAGGAAAAGTATGAATGTGTGGTATTCATAGCAGGGGATAATTGAAATGAAATAAAAGTTATATTTGTACAGAGAACAGGGGCCATGCAAGTTCTGTATCTTACTATCAAAGTCGAACTTATTTCATGCATGGCAAAACATTGACAGAAAGTTTGATTGAACAGTACTTTTTTATATTTTGCTTTTCAAAAGTTAAGGTGTTAAATCTTTTGAGGCTGGGGTCCAAGTGAGCCCTCCATCCACCCTCCTCCATAAAGCTGGATATGAAATGACATTAATAAACTTGTCTACAAACGAGCAGTGAGTGCAAAGAAATCTACAAAACCTGTGCATATCTTCTGGCATAGAGGAAATGGTTGTTGTTTGAATTCATCTAAAACCTAAATGTACTATACAGATTGTATCAAAATTAGGAATTAAAATGTAGTCTAAAAAATAATTTGACAGAAACTAAATCAATCGTAATGACTGATGTTTGCAGGCAAAGATTAATACCTGACATATTTACAATGTATTTGACAATGGAAAATAAATACATGTACATGTAGACGTATTGTATGTACAGTATGTGTCTAATTTATTTGATCTTGGTTTCAGTTGCCATATTGCTGGGCTGGCTCCCTATATTACTTTTATCTTTCATAGGGCCTGGTCGGAATCACAAATATGTATGGCACACGCCCAATTGATTATGTCTTTTAAAAAAGTTTGTTCAGAATAAGAACTGATGAGAAGGGGGCATTTCTGCCAGTTTACATTGTAGTTTGCTCCTGTGTGGGTGAAAGAACCACCTACTGTAGGAAACTAGGAAACACTGGTAGGCACATAAAGCCTACAACTAGTGAATGTCTCTTCTTGTATTGCATTATGAACATGTAATGCACAAATATACGAATACCGCATGTTTATCATAATACATGTAGTACATGTACCAAAATATGTAGATACAAATTAGTGACAAGAAGGCAGAAAATTCAGGATTAAATTGACTGAAATAGAATGTTTCTATAAAATGAAGAATAGTAGTATCAAAGGTGGGTCCAAAGTCCTCCTCTTCTATTCATCAGAAACATTATTTGAATTGAATGGATTCTACTCCCTCCAGCTCAATCTGCCCACTGATCGCATGCAGCTATCATTCATAATAATATAATACATCAGAATTTAGACTGTGAATGCAACCTTTTACATTGCAGAGGGAGGGCTTTGTACATTCATTGTACGTCACAGCCCACCTGTAGTGGGTTGGGCTGAATCAGAGAGAGAGAGAGAGAGGGAGAGACAGAGTCAGAGAGAGTCAGAAAAAGAAGTTCATCACTGTGGAATGCAGAGTACAGTACCACGCAGTTCCGTTTCATTAACTTTTATCCATAAATGGGTATACAGAACAGAAGTCGCTGCCCACTCATAACACACAAGTTTTGAACTTTTTCAAGGACTGTTACGGAGTACATGTGTACATTGTACATTTGTACATGTACATGTACATGTAGGACATTGACATGATACAAGTTATTTTCCTGCAATATATCTTAACATTTATGTAATAAATCAGGCAATAAGCCAGTTCGTAAATACAGTTGTAGCTTCGGAACGCATGACCCCAAAATATCCACAGATCTTTTACAAGATGGATACATACACACTGTACATGTACATCCCACTTGTGCATTTTGGAATAATCACTGCCAAAGTGATGGAGGTGCTTCATGAATACCTTTTGTTTGCCTCATGAGAAGAATACTTCCACCTGTGTATCAGATAAGTGTACTTGACATTTAACCAGCCCACCTTTCATTCTTTGGTAAAGATTACAAAAAACAAAAAAAATATCAAATTTACAAGGGGTATGAAATTTAGTCACTCATGTACAAGTACAAGTACAAGTAGAGGCCTACAGAGTACAGAATGAAGACGTGTTCAAGATTATAAAGGCCTTGGTTGTTCTGCATACCTGACCCCTTTATAGAACCTTCTGTTCTTTGAAGATAGGACAAACTTTCAATGTGTACAATAAGGATGCCACTTAAAAGATGAATGGAGCTTTGGGGGTGTGCCGTCAAACTTCACTGGTTCTTTTGTATTTCTGTGCATACTCATTCTTAGTTGGCAGAATAGTCTTAAACATGCAGACCTTTCTTGTGTATCAATAGAAAAAAACTTTAAATTGTCCTTACATTGTACATCTGTATAATTACATTGTATGCTATCAATGAGAAACAAATTGTGTACATCATTACAAATACAAAAATGAAGTTCTGTTTTCTTTTAACCTACAGTACATTTGGAATAAATCAAAGCATCATTGTTCCAGGTCCATTTCAAGGAAAGTTGTATCACATTCCCTATACATGTACAGTGTACATGTGTACAACGTATGTCCTTTCACATGTGCATGTACAGTACGTGCACTTTAAATGTATACTATTGTACATTGATTATCTAAAGGTGATATTCAGAAAAAGAAATATCTGGTCATTCTGGTGAAATGACAACTGCACATTGCCTATAATTTCCTTGAATTTTACAAAGATGTTAAAGTGTAAGCCAACAAAATGTACTTGTATAGTACATGTTTGTAGTATTATCATCAAGAAATGCTGAATGCGCACTCATTACACTGAAATAAAATGTATCAATAATTGGTTTTCAATAACAATAACAAAAAAACTAAAACTGTTAAACCGTTAAAAACTTGCATTGTTGAGAACATGCGATGAACATACAGTGTGAACATGAAGGCCTACATGTACAGGGCCTACATGTACTTGTAGGCTTACGATTTGTGAAATAGAAAAAAAAATTCTATTATTTGGCCAGCTGGTTCACAAACGTACATGTACAGTGTATTTGACTAAGGGCGTGTTTATGCTTCACTTTTGAAGGCAGAATGAGTGATTTGTAACGCTCATCGTAAACGCTCATCGTAATCGCAGTTCCACGGTGTACTGTTCATGCTCACTTCTCAGGCTCCTCCAGGCAATTCTCCCTGTGTGGCCTTAATTGGTCTTCCAGCTGGATTCGCAACCTTGAAATGCGCATGCTATGTAGACCATGGTCCATGCGTAGACCCACTTGAGAGGTCAGTGCGTTGACCCCATTTAAACACGTTTACAAATTGTAAACGCATCTTTTTGTGAGTTTACGATCAGCGTTTTTTTCCGGTGATTCTACAAAAGTGAGCATGGACGCAACCGTGTTTTAAACTAAACGCGTAACAGATGCCTGATTCTGGCCAGAAAAAGTGAAGCATAAACACGCCCTAAATGTACATGTGATCAACATTGGCAGTGTCCTCATTATTTATGGAGGGTGCATCACTGTAAACAAACTACATCTGGTTCACTCCCTAGTCCTACCATGTGAACATTGCTAGCTACCACCACTGTCCATTTTGGCCAGGGAGTGTCGTGGTCGAGTGGTTTAAGGCGCTTGACTTGGAGATGCGAAGGTCGAGGGTTCGAATCCCGACACGGCACTAATATCCTTTGGCAAGATATTAACCTGCACTTGCTACTCTCCACCCAGGTGTTAAATGGGTACCCGGTAGGATGCGACCGTCATTGTTGGTCAAACAGTTTTTGAGCGTCATGTAACGCCTGGCTGGAATGCTCCCCAGGGAGTGGAGATTGTGCACACATTGTGTGCGGGTAAGCACTGAATCCAATGACCGGGGTAATAATATATTTGTAAAGCGCTTAGAGACATTTGTATTTAGCGCTATATAAATTAAATTTATTATTATTATTATTATTTTCACCCAGTCAAGTAATGGAAGGAGACATTTGTTATGTCTCTGATTAAAGGGTGAGCTTGGCGAATCAATGCCAGTCTAGACATGTGTTGCACAGAACTGAAATTACACACTTCTCCATCACTGTGTACAAACATGGCTACTGTGCATGCGTTGTGAGTGCATGGCCCATATATTTTTAACAACAGTCTAAATTCTGGAATACAGCATCACATTTTTAGTTGTTAAGAACTTCAGATAGGTAACAATACATGTACAGTATGCCATAGAATAGTAATAAATTCATATTAGATGTAGGCCTACTTTGAAAATTATGATATTGCTAAACATTTGTACAGATACAGTACATGTACAGTATGTACAGTGTATACATGTACGTGTAGGGCTACATGTACAGTACGCCTGTCTTGTACATGTACCAGTATCGACCAAATAATGTAAAGTGAAATAATTACGAATGTGTTTCTTTCATTGTGTACATGTACAAATACAGTGTTCATGTGTTAAGCCACAAACCTGTACAGTATAATTAATATTAGCTGTAATTGTCAATGAATTCTTACACTCATTGGCCACATGATTTAATCACGATAACGGTTGACTCGTTTATCTGCGCAACTTCAATCAATACTTTGGCATTCCCAGACAAACGATTGTTAGTTTGTTTTAAAAGCCCTTGAACATTATTGGTGTGAGCCCTCAAAAATCAATTGGTCAGATTTCATCGGTTTCACTAGATAAAAAGCAAAGCATGAACATTTTATTTACATGATAAATCATGTACGATGGTTTCCATCATTTTATTGGCCTATTGTGCCTATTGTTTTACATGTACATGTACACTGTAATTCCAAGATTGCACAAAATTTATTTTGATAATTTGCCTATCTATAAACAGGGAGATGATCCCACTACAGTGCAGTTGTATGTCAATCCTTACTGCATATCGTTATACTGGTAAATGGATTTCTAAAAGTTGTCTTCATTTATAAAACGAAGAATAAGATAGTGAAAATATAGGGTAATGTTTGCTTGTTTAATAATAACATGAAAGTATATATCATAACAAACTAAAGTTTACAAGTCCTACATGTATGAGCTAAAGCAGGGGTTATTTGGAATACAGTGTACTGTACAGTACATGTACATGTACATGTACATAATGTACAGTAGCATTAATACAGTTTATACTTCAAACAATCTTTCAAATACTGATTTGAAATTTATTGTTAATTAGTTTTCGAAAAATCTCTGTGTAGCCAGTATCAGGAATTAATCCACAACACCATTATAACATGGAGAAATCAATACAGCTGCAATACCACAACATTCGTTGTTATTCCCAGCAGCAAACGTCTTGAAATGTGTTACTACATGTACATGTTGATGTATGTACATGGCACATGCAACTGATTGGGTGTAAGAATTCAAAGCAGAGTCCAGCAGTACAACTTGTTGACTTCTAGGCATCATACAACTTTTTTGTTTGCATTGAAAAGAATTTACAAATACGTGTGCATATTAGGTGGGTGCAAACTCCACTCAAACTAAATGGACTTGAACTTTGTTTGTTTATCATGACTAGCACGACCATGGCCTCTCCCGTTTTCCATAAATTCCTCATTTATTTGGAAATGGAAATGGTCAGTGATATCTGGTATGTCAATAGAAACAGGATTTAATTGGATTAATATTGTACCACTATTGCTAGGTGGGGACTATAGGTTTGATTTGGTTGAATTAACACTCAAGTACATGTACGCCCCTGCACAGTATCTGAAGGTACTAACATGGACAGTGGTTTGTGGTTTATCTTGTGATATATTTATTGAAAAGGAAAATCATTGAAGTAGAGATTGGGTGCAACGAGGCTACACAATTAAAATCAAACAAGTGTGTAGCATTTTAACTGTGGTCATGTTCTAAGAATAACAGAACTGAACTGACTGTACAACATGTCACTGGAACATGTACATGTATGATCAAGACGATTAGCCATTCTCACAACAGATAAGTTAATGGAGAAAAACAAATATTTCTTACTAACTGTGAAGATTGACTAAACACACAGATATTATGTAATGGGAGTGTCTGTCACTGTGCCTGGCACTGTACTTGTACATGCAATCGTTTGCACATGAATTGCACATAATATATCATGCACAGATCTCTCCAGAATGTCTAGCCTAGGGCTAAGTTCACTGTGGTACAATCAGCATTTACCCGATTCCGCCCTGACCTTTACCCAGTCTTAAGAGCAAAATGGGACACACGCCCACTTCCCTACTGTGCTGTAAATTGACATGCAATTCACAATGAAGGAGTACCTCACCAAGTGGCTCAATGGTGCATTATGATAATTCCATGGTAACTAATGAGGAGGAATGTACATGTACATTGTAGAACCCTTAATTGCTTCACATATTTCACCACTAATGGGGTGTTCATGACATAATTATTCTCTACTGAAATGTTTACCTACATTGTACATGTACGATGCATGTGTACGGTACATTTGTACATATACAGAGTATTCAGTAAGCTTATTGAAAAGTCTAGAAATTTTAAATTTTGCTTGTGTACTGTACTGCCTCCATTGCACAGTGTGTGGGTAGACTCAAACTGGGGAAATTATGAGCCCCATTTCATTTATTTAAATAATTTGTGTTAAAGATAAACTTGAGTTCTGGTAAAAAAAAAAGAAAATCAATTCACACAGAAACTTACACTAAAAGTTCAAGATTACAAATAAATGTCATTTGCCAAAAAAAAGAAAACCCCTCCCTCCCCCTCCCAACATGATTTAGACTCCTACTGTCACTTCCATTCACTCAGAGTGTGGTAGGGAAGGACAGAGGCTAGATGAGAATTGAGAACAAAATATATTATTGACTTCCATCCACCCCCCCCCCCTTTCTACATGTAAATAGGAAGGATGCGACCATACATTTACAAAAGTTCAATTTTTTTTTTTTACATTGTACATGCGATGTGAAACTTGTGTGCATGTTTCACTTTCACACAAGTTTTCTTCATTTTCTATAAATAACATTTACAAAGATATGAAAATATTCAGTTATGGCCTTTTTATGTTAAAGAATTACAATCTGTACAGCTAGTACGAAATGCATTGAAAAGACATGTCATTGTATTTACATGTACATGTACATGCGCTTGGTATCCAGCACAACTAGTGCACACCGTGCACCACCCACCATCTGCCTCAAATAAATAAACATGTAATGTGCACATAACACAAACTGCAGTTGTTGTAAAACTGTTTGCTGTTTTACGATAACTGAAATGAATTTAAATCACCAGAAGATATTCTCAAATTTGGGAGACCAATTTATTTTATCTAATTTTGCTGCAAAGGGTCCATTACATATGTACATGTACCTTGCCTCAAAATGAAAATGTGATTAACAGATTCCTCATGAAAATTTATCCGTTTGACCATCTACTGTACATACATGTACATGTACTTAATCAAAATTCACTGTCTACTTTTGTTTCATAACTGCTTTGTTGTTGTTATGATCCACAGTCCACACAAAAGAAATGGGTTCCTGAACTCAGAGAAAGCTAAAAAAACTGGGAAAAACTGCCTTGTGTATTATATTGATGTTAGACTTGGTCATTGATGTTTGATTCTTTTCATCTTCTTTCTTTTCCCTTTAGTACATGTAGCTTTTTACAAAAAAATTGACCTCTTAGAAGAAAATAAATAAATAAATAAAATGTAATCTAAATCTCATAGTTCATCGACCTTTTGACAGAAGTACTGAAAGTACTACACACTGAGGAGATCATATGGATGTGAATTCGACCTACATGTACATGTATGATGAAGAGAGAAGAGGAGAACAATTACACACTTCATAGCCACTCTGGAATCATCACCAGAAGCTGGTTGACAATCTCCACCACATAGTCAGGTGGCTTAGTAAAATTATTGTTACTTGCCGAATAAAAGCACCAGGCTTCCTTAGAACCTACTTATTAGGCTACGAGCCCCAGCAAAATTTCAATTTGTAAGGGTGTGGGGCAGGAGCGTCTTTTTGGAGCCCCCAAATAATTTTATAACATTCATTTGTTGTTGTACAAATGCCACTTTTGGTACAGGGCTTCCTTATGACCTACTGAATGATGGTAGGGTAGGAGGCTAGGAGCCCCCGGCAGAAATATTCATATAGACCCCTACAAATCAATGTGTGGTTGGGGGTCCCATGGCGTTTGTACAACAAAAACTCAATGTTCCGTAAACTAAGATTACAGTCGCTAACTTAACATACACGCGCGCTTGCACCCCACCGTCAGTACGGTATGCAATTAATTATTGTGCAGGAGTTCGACGTGAATCCCGTGAGAAATTGTACATTATAAGTCTTTGTTTTTAGGAAAAAATACTCCAAACAAGATAACAAAATTGACACGAAACAGGTGAGGTAAGAAACATAACAACTTTTAAATCAAGACCATTATTTGAACAATTGATGAAGATGAAAGTTGAAATTTGATATCTTTTAGTACTAGTAGGCTATCTCCACGCCGGAGTTACGGGTAAAAAATGGATACAAAAGTGCACTAGCGCCAAGTAAAGTTCTAGACTAGAAGGTCTAGGTCTACTTGTAGACTAATGACTTTTTATATTTGTAGATCTAAATGTATTTAAGACTGAACTAGCCTGAGGCTGAAGTAGATTTTCGTTTAGTGGCAGGGATCATGATTATGATTGGTTTAACTCCATTGCCTTGCCTTGCATTGCTTTGCTTTGGTTTGGTTGGCATTGCATTGCCAGCACAACTCAATTTACGTTAATGGAAGTCTACGGTACCTTGATGTAGAGAGTGATGGGCTGATCCCCCGAGTCTTCCTCTTGCTCAGCACCATCACCATTGGTATCGGGAGCTGCAGTTTCAGTTGTCTCTGGCTCAGCACCATCACCATCACCATTGCCATTGGCATCGCCAGCTGCAGTGTCACTCGTTTCTTCTTCTTGATCTTCGTTCGGCGCATCTTCCTCTTCGTATGTCGCATTTTCCTCTTCGTTCGTCACAATTTCCTCTTCATCCTCGATTTTCATATTGTCCAGCTGCTCAACGTTTTCTACCTCTTCTCCGTTCATTGTGGTTGATTATTCCGTTAGATTATCCAATAAAACAAGGTCGAAAATCGTTCAAAATCGCAGGTTGACGTCAGTGTCAGTGGGTCGGATATGTTGATTCAAAGTTGGATTTTCGTTTAATTAATCGTGCGCGTACGTGTGTGCCCGCGCGCGCGCATGTGGGCATTATTAGCTTAGGCATAGACAATTCGACCCGACGACTTTCAACCAACAATTTTTAGTGCCATCGACTCATGGACTTCGAAAAAGAAAAAGAAAATTGTTTTTGTATTTACAATCATAATTTTTGACGATATTGCTCCAAAATGAAATCCGACCTAAATCAAAACATCAAAGATAAATGTTAAATTAACACAACGAAAGATTTAAATGGTATTAGCATGGGATGAACTTTGAAGCCTTTGCTTGGGTTGAAGCAAACTAATTTTAAATTGATGATTAGTGAAAAATAAAAGTTATTGATTTTATTGAGAAGTGAAGACCTCTAATCACACAGGCTCAAGGGCGTAGCTAATTTTTTTGCCCAATTCGTGAGAAAATATTTAGCGGCGAATCAGCCAGTCGGTGAATAAAGGGGGGGGGGGGGTAAGGAACACTTTTTTCCCCTCAACATCCACACCACCCCCCCCCCCCCCCTTGAGCAAAAAAAAATATTATATTTTTTTTTTTTGCCGGGGGGTGGGGAGGCATAGATAAAACACAGATATTCATGGGTGTCTTTAAAATTCCAATTATAGAGGGATATCCTTTAAAGCTCCCTTTCCAAACTATTTTCAGGGATAATAGACTTCAAAATATTGAAGAAAACAACATAGGCCAGTAAGGCCTAATGCTAATCAGATAGGGTTTAGAAAAGGCTTCAGGGGGGTGTTTCACAAAGATCCTAAGTAGAACTTAACTCTAAGTTGGACTTAAAAGTTATGGACAGCCATTGGAGTCTTTAAATGAAATATATTCAAAAGCAGAAATTCAAGTATTTTAGACTTTTTATTAATTCCACATCCAGAACATGAAATCTCCTTGATGATAGAAAATATGAATGATTTCAATAAACAATGAATGCCTTTCAAAATAACTTTTACAAAATATTTTCAAAGATGCTAATGGCTTTCCATATTTTTTAAGTCCAACTTAGAGATAAGTTCAACTTAGGATCTTTGTGAAACATCCCCCAGGACTTCAGTGACCATATATTCACTCTAAAAACACTGGTAGAATAAATGTTCAAAAATAATAAATATTGTACGTGTGTTTTGTGGATTTCCGCAAAGCGTTTGATTTATTTTTAAAAAAGCAAATAGTATTTTTCAAAAGGAGGCGTTGGTCAAAAAGGAGGCGGGCTGGGACGAAAAAGACTACATTTTTGTTGCACTTGATACAACCATGCCGGCGCATCAACTTTCATGCTATAGTTGTCCTTCTCTGCACATCGATGCTGTTAAATCATATTTTCTAGACAGTTTTCTCTTTAGACCGCGGCTATATCATGACATATGACTCTGGCACTGGCGTACTGATGGGGGGGGGGGGGGAGGGGGAGGAATTGCCAACCCCCCCTCCAAAAATAAAAAAAAAATAAAAAATTCTAACTCAGTGGTTTTTCTAATTCGATATATAAATGTTGCTGAAATGACATGATTTTGCGGGGGTCTTTTCTCACTTATTAAAATATATTATAATTTTTTTTTCCTCCTCACCCCCCCCCCCCCCAAAAAAAAGTTGTTGCTCCTTACGCCACTGGCCTATGATACTTCTCGTCTGCGATAACATAATCTGTATTACTTTCTCCGTTGAACATTACCAAGCCTAGGCGTCGTGGTCGAGTGGATACGTCGACGGACTTAAGGTCTTAAGGTCCGCGGTTCGAGTCCCCGGCCGCGGCACTAATGTGCTTTGGCAAGACAATGATATACATTTGCCACACTCAACCGAGGTGATGTAAATGGGTACCTGGCAGGAATTAATTCCTTGAAATGCTAGAGCACCGCAGTGGCTGCCTTGCTAAAGCCCCCGGCTCCCCCACTCAGAGGTCGGAATGACCGCATGCGTGTTGCCAAAATGTCTGGTAAAGGGGTATTTTTCGTGCGACAAAGTCCGGCCCGAGAATTGTAAAAAAAAAGGGGTGTATTTGACTTTCCACCCTGAGATTTTTTTTAAAAGGGGGTGTTTTTCTTTTTTTCTCTCATCTCTTTGGACTCCTGAGAAAATATTCCGAATTTAGGGGGGTACATTGAGCATTTTTCCTGAGGGGTCTCAAAGGCAGGAAAAGCCTGTGAAAAGCCCGCGAAAGGGGGGTTTGGAAATGTTGGCAGTCCTCAGATAGGGGGTGCTTTCAAAAAGAGGGTACGAGCATATGCGTACCCTAAATAACACTGAGTGGGGGGGGGGGGCGGGCTAAAGCCAGGGTAATAATAATCGGGGCAGCGCCGTAGGAGCGTCACAACGTGACGGACATGTGCGCTATATAAGAAGCCACCATTATTATTATTATACCGGGAGGCTGTTGCAAATGTAAAAAATTCACTTTGTGGCAATGTTTGGTCTTGAGCTTATGAAGTCTGAAAATGTAAAAAGAGGAGCATGACATCCCAGAATACAGCTCATTACTCCCCCACAGGCCTGCACGACTAACCCTCGCACCATTTTAAGTGCCTTCGTTCTGCGAAATTGAAACTGAGCTGTCTACCGAGTTTGCGTGGTCGAGTTTTATGTAGGACGAAGTATTACGTGCACGCAGCCACTTTTAACGCGCGCCCATAGTTCTCGTTCTCCTCCACGCCAAAGGTACACGCCCAGCTTGATTGAGCAGTGAAGCAAGTGCGAGAGTGACCACTCCCTCACCTCTTCAAACCCCATCGTCTCTGATCATGAGTCATCATCTTATACCGCGGACCAAAATATGTTGACCCTGAAGAAAAGTGAATGTTTTGTATCCGATTTTAGGTGTGAACATGTTTGTACACCTTCGATGAAAAAGAATTATGGCTTTTTATATCTCATGAACAACTGACAACTTGTAGGCCGATGACACAAAGTTGTTGAGAGATAAAAGTGATGTCGGGCAAATCTTCTGAAACGGTAAAATAAATATATCGCATAGGGCCTATTAGCAATACTAGCAGACTATATTAAGAAAGTTGGCTAAGACTCCGTGCGTGTGTGCGTGGGGGCGGGGGGGGGGGGGGGGTGGTTGCAATGGCGCAATTTCATCATGTCATGATGAAATTGCGTTTGTGTGTATCTCCCACAATGGCAGCTACGTAAAAATAATAATAATTTTTATTTATGGAAACATAATTATCAAAACTCGAGATTTAAATTTCAATTGCCACTATAGGCGACCCCCCCCCTCTCTCTCTCTCTCTCTCTCTCTCTCTCTCTCTCTCAGTACCTATCTTTCCTTCTATCTACTCCTGAAGAACAAGAAAAAGTAAATACAATGATATATAGGTAATTCTAAAGTAGTGCAGCCTTTATTGATTCAATTAGTGAAAGACATTGGCACCAAAATGAACATGATTGGTCCTCTGGGTCTGATAACACTAATTTATATTAAGCTGTTTTTTCCCATTGGCAACATACTCTCTAAAAAAAAATCGAGTGATCACGGACGTCACCTCTCTGGAGAGTGAAAATGTAGTGAAAATAGAGTGAACCTTCACTCTTTTCTTAGAGAGCACTCTAAAATCAATCGATTTTCACTCCTAAACAAGTGATCACGGACGTCACTCCCAAGAAAGTGAAAATAGAGTGAAAATTCACTTTTTTTTTTTAAAGAGAGTACAGTATACTGCTGCCATATAAATGGGCTAATTCTTCTCCACTATATACCGACATTTCTTTCTTCTAAACATCCTACTCATTCCGATATAAGCTATACTACTATAGGCTACATAAGTTTTTAATATGACCACACTTTATTACAGTGAAAAGTAAATTCGTATTAAAAATAAACTAGATAATGCGTATAAGAAGGTACATGAATGTATATAATTAGTTACAAAGATATTTTATACTTCACCGCCCGAATATAGGAGGTGACGAGCTCCTGAATATTGGTAATTTCGAAATTCCCAGGGGCTGAACTATGCCCCCCACCCCTCTCTCTATCTCTCTCTCTCTCTCTCTCTCTCTCTCTCACCGGCCTCGTACACCTCTGATCATCATCGAAGTATTTTACATTTCCATCAAGAATTTGACAGTGATGGCGGTCAGTGAGACCAGTGTTGCAAACAAGAAGAGGCGATCCATGATGCGGGCAAGTAGTTCGAAATCATGTATCTTGGGCGACTGTTCAAAAAAAAGAATTAGGATATACATGTACTAAAAGTTTATATTTCGAACAAATCAAAATAATTTTTGAGATTTCTATGTCTTTTGTACTAAGAAACGTAATGATTAAAATGTAATGTACAAAGTCGTTAATTATTTCTTTCCCATTTCGTTAAAAATATCTGAACATACGATATATAAATCCCAAGGTAAATATAGTAGCAAAACTCCAAAGGGAGTGGAAATGGTACACATTGTGCGTGAATGAATCCGGTGACTGGGGTGATAATATAGGTTCCATGACATTTGCTCCGGCGACAATTGCTCCGCTGTAAATTTCATACACTAATCGAATGGCTAACTTCAACCCTGGATTCAACACTATACCCTACCCTAAACCTAACCCTAAACCTAACATAAAACCCTAGTGAAACCCTAACCCTAACCCTACATCTTAGACGAAATAAAGCCCGGAGCAATTGTCGCAGGAGCAAATGTCGTGTCACCATAATATAATAATACAAAGCGCTTTGAGACGGTATTACGTATTAAGCAATATATGAATCCAGATATTAACTAATATTGATATACACATTTCGTTAACATTATACTGGATTAATTTGTGTATAATAGTTTTATAATGTTAAGTCTATAGCAGCGATATTGCAGCCCGATTTTCTCTCATTTATCGATGGGCCTCTATTAGAAAATTGACAATATCATCATCTAGAATCCAGTTCCCATTAATATCAGTACCTCAGTTTTGTCTTGTTCGTCGAATCGATTCGTTGACTGTCTTTTCACCCAAACATCAAGCTGTGACAAAGTGTGACCATCGGACGATCGTGTTTGTGCTATAAGAGAAAAACAAAACATGAATGTAATGATTAAGAAACCAAACCATTTGTAATCAAATTCTGCTTTGCATTCAATATTTCGTGCATTCGAATTTGATTGTACTGTATTCCTTTGACTATTATTATTAGCTCTAAGTTGGACTTAACAATATGGAAAGCCGTTAACATGTTTAAAAAAATATTTTGTAAAAGTTATTTTTAAAGGCATAGATTTCATGTTCTTGATGTGAAAAAAAGTCTGAAACAGGCCTACTTGATTTTTCGCTTTATTGGAAGGCTTCAAATGGCTCTCCATAGCTTTTAAGTCCAACTTAGAGTTAAGTTCGACTTAGGATCTTTGTGAAGCACCCCCCGGTATTGCATTTCTTCAACTATTATTATTAGCTCTGATTTTTTTTTCTTTTTCGAACAGGTCATGTAGAGGCTAAGAAGGACGCATCGGCCCCTTATGATGTACAATGGACGTAAGAAATCGAAAGAACGAAACATATCGCTTGCAAAGGAGCCTCTATGCTCTTCATGAAAAAAAACACACTTTTAAACGTGATTAAAATCAATAGGTATAACTGGATGTGGATAGCATTAGCTAACATGTGGATGCCCATTTGACTTTACAGACTTGATGTATTTTGACATTTGAACAGTGTTTGCAACTGAACGTCCTTATCCATTACAAATATTTGGTGAATTATATTACTTTTGAACTTTTTATTTGAAGAAATTGCGAAAAAAGTTAAGTTGGTTTGTGAGGACAATTTTTGGTGGGTTTATTGAAAGATGCGTAGGGCTTAAATAATGATAATATGTAATTTGTTTAGATCTGGTTCTCGGCCACAGACTAACCTGCACTATCCTTCATCTCCAGACCTCCAGCTTTGCGGCTCTCATTGGGATTCGAACCCTGGGCCTTCTTCCCGCCACACCTTCCCCCACCCACAAAACACCATGGTCCAAGGTGGTTGAAGAAGACACTGCGGATGAACTTGTTGTTGATCTCGCCTTCCCGGTGACTGAGGTTGATAACAATGGCGGACATAATGGTGACGACTATGGTGATGATAAAACAATCGCTCACATATTCAGTGACCACGGCAGCGTCTCCTAAACAATTAATGAAAAACTATTTAATGTAACATTCCGTCTATTTCAATCAATATCATAATGGGACACAGAGATGTGTGTAAAAAAAAAACACCTGACAGTAAATGTGTACATACACACTAGGTGCGGAGGGGGGGGGGGGGTGCATCCCCAACTGAATTTTGAAATATAAAGTATTCGGGAAACGATCACCTCATGATTACACGGGCAGCGGGTATAGGCCTACCCGAAAAGGAACATTGTATTGCTATCAGGCTTATCTAGTATATCTTGATGTCGAAATAACTTCTTCTTTTTTTGGGGGGGGGGGGGGTCGCTCTCTTAATTTTCCTCGCAAATTTTCAATGCAGAAAGACGACCTTTGGGTAAGCGAGACGTCAAACCTTAGGATTAACACGACAGTGGAAACTTTATTCTAAAATAATGTCAAGAGTAACAGAATCCGCGCCCTTAAATTAGTCGGAGTATTGCTATTAGACTGGCTTTTTTTTTTGGGGGGGGGGGGGGCTTGGGTTTTTTGTTTTTATTTTCTATACGTGCCTCGCTTATATTACTTTATTATAACGATTTTTGTTTTTCCTTTTCGGGGGGGGGGGGGGGTGAGGCTTCAGCCCCAAGCTCCACTATAGAACCACTAGGCCTACTGGATCGCTTCTCTGTCTGATGCTATTGATTGTGTGAGTCATAATGATTACCTCTAGAGTTCTTGGGCAGGTTGTCTGTAACGACGATCTGGAACACCGTCAGACCAAGGACAAGAGAGATGGCGGCCGAGAGGCGCTCTCCACTTTTGGCGGGAATGATGAAAATGATAATCGACAACCAGCTGAGGATAGCTATTGGTGACGTCACATTATCAATGTAGTACCTTGGCAGTCTACGGAGCTTGAAACACATCCCAACCATCTCATAAGTGATGTTTCGTGGGATGGAGACAAACTCAGAAAGTGTGTAGGTACTAACGATGTCCCACTCAGAGCTGACGTCACGGCGACCGTCAACTACTTGTACAGAACTTGAGTCAACTCGCACAAGGTGGATTGGTGTGTTTTGCATTGTAAATCGCAGCCTTTTGAAGAAGAAAAAAATGTACTTGACAAAATAATGATATTGGTGGAATATAGTCAGGAATGTTTTCCGACGGATGGAATATATAATTATATGAAACATAATTTTCCCAATTCCGTTTAGTTCGCGGTTCTGAATTGGTTCTTTTATTTAACACTTTCATAAAAAGCAATGACATTGAATAAAAAAAAGACATATCCAATTACGATACCAAATTGAAAAGACATAAATAACACCAAGTTAATACGATAGTGTTGGGGGTTAGCTAATCTCCTTATACAGTGCTTATAAAGACACATGTTTCCCGCTTCCTTTTTTCTTTTCAAATTTATTATAAAGTAATATGAAAATGATCTTACCAGCATTCCTGTTCGTCAAAGGGGAACTTGTGAATTTTCATGTCACATGATGTGTGATGTAACAATGGTGATTCTAGATGTACTTGTCCGTCATAGGTGATATACGTTTGAGTGACGTCACGTTGAATAGGGTTCGCCGGCTGGTCAAGTACACTATGTATATTCGAATAACATATGCATAAAATGGATTTAGTATTGTTATGATTATAAGTAGGTAATTTAAAACTTTATTTCTGTGATTTGATGAATAATGATAATAGTGGGTTCTTGTAACTATAGCACTCAGTCGGTCAGACATAGGCCCGGCGCGATAGCTCAGTCGGTAGAGCAGTGGTCTCGTAATCAGGTGAACCAAGTCGATGCGCTAGTGCCCTTTGGTAAGGCATTAATCTTCATTACCAGGTCCCTCGGAGAGAACCTAAAGCCCGTCTGTAGCATTTTAAGAAATTGAATCCTGCCAGATATCCATTTACCTCACCTGGGGTCGAGTGTGGCAAATGTAGATTTAATTCCTTGTCAAAGTGGTGTGATATCAATTCGAACCCCGTACACCCTGTGATTCAAAGTCCGGTGACTTATCCACTAGATTACACCACCTCTACAAGTATAATCAAACAATAATTAATATCTTTTTACTCTTCCAAAAAAGGTCGACATTCCGAATTATATCTGGCAGGGTTGTCACTCTCGTTATGGTGTAAATGATTGACAACAAATACTCTTGTTCTTTCCATTGAGAGAACTATTCTGTCAAGGAAATGATTACTGTGTATTACACTAATTACTTCTGGAAGCAAAGAGGGCATGACTGCCCACTGAACGCCTTGTCATTTAGTGGCTCTCAAACACAAGATTCTTTCAACTTGATTATTTTTGTCTGTTGTTATTAAGTTAAAAACACAGACCACATTATTCGAGCATTGACATGTTGAAAAAAGGTCAAAGTACTTTCCTGTGTCAATTATAAATCTATATTTCTATACAAAGTCAAAGAGAAGAGAGAGAGAGAGAGAGAGAGAGAAAGAGAGAGACTGAAATAATGGATACCCCAAAAATAATAATCAGCTACATGTATATCGCTGCTATATATCCACATCAATAATACACAATTTAAAAGCCCTCTGTTGGTGGTTAATTAAATGAACTAGGCGTTGTGGCGTGCGCCTGTAATCCAGCTAAAAAGTGGAAGTTACAAACTGATTCAGCCGAGGACGCAGGTTCGAAACTGAGTCACGTCTTTCGGATGGTGACGTTTAAAGGTCGGTCCCCAGACGTAAATAATCATATCTGATTGATACACGTCTGTAAAAACCTAATACACACACACACACACACACGCACGAACAATTTACAAGGGCCTTCTTTAATGAATCACAACGTTATGCAATAATATTGCGCAGAAGTAGATTAACCATTCATTAAATGTGACTATACTTTAGACTGGAGATCTGATGTGATTATTATCCTGACCTATCCTGTTTTATTTCCCCCAGATTCTTAGGACCCTGAACTGTTCATGACTAATAAATGGCTCGGTGAGCCTTTCGAGGTGATAATGTGGCCCAAATAGACATCTGGGACAGTAAAGCACTTTGTTTGTAAACATGATTGAATATTATTGTATTAGTAAACTTCATTCATATACATGTTTGTATCTGGAAAGAAATGCGCTACATCAAATATCCCCCAAAGTGAAAATGAAAAGATTACGGCTCAACGAAGCTAAAAGCCGGATGCTTTGCACGATGAATGGGCTATCCACCGACACGCGGCATACATCAGCACATGCTATTAATAATTCTTATACTGGAATAAATTATTAATGAGCTACAGTAGGCCTGTTTGTCTAATTTGTGGGACACTCAGCTTATTTTGCACATCAAAATGTTGGAAGCAGGCAAGGGTGTCGATTTGTATCCGTGGTTGGGGGGGGGGGGGATGATAGTTGCCAAAATATTTTCGGCAATGGATCAAAGCAACCAAGAGGTAGAAGCGTGTGGCAGGTTGCACCCCTCCCCAACTGCGTAGCTAGGATTTAATTTTAGGGGGTGGTAGTAAGCAACCGAAGCGCGCTCCCTATAGGGGGTTGGGTGCAGGGAGGGGGGAGTTCACCTCCTCCGCGAAGCGCGGAAGCTTTGACGTTTCATTAAATTATTAGAGAAAGAAGACGATTTGTTGGACCGTTCTCGACTCTTAATCTTTGTTCGAATCAAGTTCCCCTTCCTCCGCGCGTAGCGCGGAAGTAGCGCGGAAGCTCTGACGTTTCAATCGATTAATAAAGAAAGAAGACGATTCGATGTGCCATTCTCGACTCTTAATCTTTGTCTGAATGCAGTTTCCCCCTCTCGCGCGAAGCGCGGAAGCTCTGACATTTCATTAAATTATTAGAGAAAGAAGACGATTCGTTGTATCGTGTCCTTGTCTGATTGCAATTCGCCCCCGCCCTATCGCGCGAAGTGCGGAAGCTTTGACGTTTCAATGAATTATTACTCTTAATCCTTTTCTGTAATCATTTTCGCCCATCCAGCGCCAAGCGCGGAAGCTTTACCGTTTCATAAAATTATTAGAGAAGGAAGACGATTTTTTTGTATCGTGTCCTTGTCTGAATTCAGTTTTTTCTCCTCCCGCGCGAAGCTCGGAAGCTTTGAAGTTACATTTGATTATAACTCTTAATCCTAGTCTGAATTCAGTTGACCCCCTCCCGCGAAAAGCGGGGAATCTTTGCCGTTTCATTAAATTATTAGAAAGAGAAGATGATACGTTGTATCGTGTACTTTGACGTTTCATTTAATTATAACTCTTAATCCTAGTCTGAATTCAGTTGACCCCCTCCCGCGCAAAGCGCGGAATCTTTGCCGTTTCACTAAATTATTAGAGAAAGGAGACGGTTCGTTGTACTGTTCTCTATATTAATCCTTGTTTAAATTCAGTTTCCTCACATGATGTATGTATGGAACGTTCGTTCGCAAATATTTGCATGCACAGCCCAAGACAGTGGTGGGTAGCATGATTAGCATCTCCCGGCAGTGCTTGTCGCAATAGCTTCTGGAAAGGAATTGTATACTACTGTTAGTGTTAACGGCCACTAATTTGGCCCATTAGTGACTATACAAAATATATGCTTTTCCTGGCTATTTGGGAATGTGACAGTTTGCAACAGAAATGAAGAAACGCGAATTTTGTTGAAAATCATGTGATATCACGAACATTTATTAATCACTTGTATGAAATTGAGAATAATTCATTGTTTGATTTTATTGGAGGGTTGAACCAACCAGTACGCCAGTGACATAGACCTACATCAGCTTTTCAATAAAACAAAAATAAGTTGTGACATAATAATCTTTCTCCAAAAATGAAAAATGTTTTAGGAAATATCAGGAAATAAAATAAAAATAAAGATACAATGACGTGAATTTTAAAAAGGGTGAACGGAAACAACATAACAACTAGTGAACTATCTTATAAGTCATACTAATGTCCGAAAATCTTTCTCCTTGTCTCTGTTCTCACGAATTCGTCACAGAGTTCATCTATGTTTACATTGTCCAGGATGGTCTGATGTTGCAGATTGCTACTTTTGCGCTTCGCGCTTAACATTTAGCTCGTTGCTTTTTGGCGCACTGCATTTCTATGCTGCTGTCAATTTAACAAAGTGAATTAATTCATCAATTCCTGATGAAGCCGTATGATCGAGAATTCAATTTATTCTTGTCTCATATACAGTTGTCTCATTTACTTCGTATATGTATGTATTATGAAAATGAGATAGCAAAATGTGTATATTGATGGTCATCTTGGGAGTAATAACCATTAACTACTCTCATCAGGCTCTCATCATTAATTTTTCTCTTATTTTTTTATTTTTATTTTTTAGGGTGAATTATTGGGGGGGGGGATGATTGTACAGGCCATCCCCCCACCTGAAATATTGGGGGGGGGGGGGGATATATCCCCCCATCCCCCCCCCCCCCCGGGATCGACACCCATGGAAGCAGGCAAAGTGTTACGCGATGAGGGAGGGATCCCCCCCCCCCCCCCAAAAAAAAAAAAAAAAAAAAAAAAAATTGGCCGGGAAATAATATACCCGCGATCCGGTAAAACCATAGGCCCGAATTCACAAAGGAGTTTTGTCGACAAACCGAGGTTTATGTACGTCATATGACGCGTTTTGACGCGTTTTTACAAGCCTGGTTTGTAAATAACAAAAGGAGGTTTGTCGACAAACCTCCTTTGTGAATTCGGGCCATCGTGTCTTGTATACATAGAATAAAAGTTTTGGTGGCCGTATGACCCCCCCCCCCCCCCCCCCCCTCCCCACACAATTTGCTAACCGTTGTGTAGTCTTGAGCCATTACTATTTGTTATTATTTCTTTGTTTCTTTTCGTTTGCTTGTTAGAGGTTTCTTTCTTTCGGGCGGTATATGTTGACCAATAAGACCACCCCCGAAAATGTGATATTTTCAGGGGGGGGGGGGCTTGCTTTTCAGCATACTCTGAGATTTGTGATCCCCTCCCCATCCCTAGTCAGATAACTCTGGATCCGTCACCAAAAATTATTCAATTGATTGATTGAACCACTAATAAATATGATACTGGAATGGATTGGAACACGAATGCTCATTTACTTTCAGCTCAATAATTTAACAACGAGCAGGCCGATGTAATCATGAAAACATGGTGCTCGTCCCTTAATAATTGATCTGGGCAAATTTAATATGAAGATATATCAAAATCGAGTTTGATTTTTCAGCGATGCTTTGAATGACCTCATCGTATTCTGAAGATTATGATGCAAGAGCAGGAATCAACAATTGCTCTGACATCGATATATTGATATATTGATGGACCCAGCACTCTAATTAATACCGCTTCATCAAACATGCATTTATCATTCTATTCCAATATCCGAGTGTTTCAATTAATTTCCCTTCACGAAGAGGAGGGCTTTCATACTGCCACAATATTATGTTGTGCCGTTACAGTAATCCTTAAAGGGCTGTCGAGAACATAGTTCAATAAAGTTAAAGCTTTTTACCTTGATTGGTAATTTGCTTTATATATAATTATAATTTCATCATGAAAAAAAAGACTGGTGTTCGAACACCATCGTAATCCTGCATCTGGTATAATTTAACTGTTTTAGGCTTTTTGATTTCAAATTTTATTCTGTTTATGCTTTGTATTGTAATGTTTTTGTTTTTCTTTATACTGTTTTTTTTTTTCTCGTCTTTTCCAGTTTCAACTATATAGGCCTGCGTGGGCCTGTCATGTTCTCGGTTTTTTATGTGGGAGATTGTCGGTGTGTTGTTCCAAGTTAATTTTAAACATTAGTAGTACTATTTTGAATAGGAGAAGAAACGAGGAAAAATAAGAAAAGAGCTGAAGGTAGCTAAAATCCAGGGGAAAGGTTAGATAGGATTGAGATGATTTGAGAGGGTTGATGAAGGAAGATAAGAACATTATGATGCGAGGTATAGAAAGAATCAGATCTAGGAGGAAGGTTGGGAACTCGTTGGACAGATAACATTTAAAGAGGTATGAGGTAACTAGCGGGAGCGGCTAAAACAGGGAAAGGAGGATGGTTCGGGCAACCAATTCCTGCTAAGGGATAATGGTTCATGGAATAATATTTTGCGATTATTTGAGTTTATACTTACGTGTTCTGAAGGTATAATTTTGGTGACCACGTTTGATCGATGTCGACAGTAAAAGATCCTATGCCAGCATGGTCCTTAGGATCCCAAGTCAGTCTATCATCGTACCAGTCCTAGTAGGAGAAACATGAAAGGTCTCATCGGTATAGGATGAGTAGCCTACTCATTCTCGTCAATCAAAATTTTTTAAATAAAAATAATTATATTTTTTACTGAAAGAGAATGATGATGTGTTTTTTTGGTTGAATAACCACTTTATCAAAGATTCTTGAAAACATGATCTACACTCGAACATCTAATTTTTTTTCACACGTTGTGGAATTTTGGCGGACTCTCAGTTTGGATTTCGTAGGAAACATTCTACTTCTCATGCTATACTACTTTTTATAAATAAAATTGCGTCCGTTCTTGACGACCGCTGTCATACTGTAGGATTATTTTTTGGATTTTTCCAAGGCATTTGACACAATAATTGTATTGATCATAACATCTTGTTTAAAAAGCTACAGCATTATGGTGTCAGGGGTAAGGCCTTGGAGTGGTACAAAAGTTACCTCAGTAGTCGAGTTTGTTTCATTAAACGGGATTGCATCGAGTGTCAAGCCTGTCACGTGTGGTGTTCCTCCGGGATCTCTTTTAGGGCCTTTACTATTCATAACATATATAAATGACTTCAAATTTTCATCCCGACTATTGTCATTTTATACTATACGCAGATGACTCAAGCATATTTTATTCTCATCAGAATCCTCAAATTCTTGTTGAAACTGTAAATTCGGAACTTGAGAATATTGCACAGTGGATTTTTGCGAATCGACTGTAACTGCACTTTGACAAAACTAATTTCATATTATTTAGCAATTCAATCTCCGATTTACCTGGAGATATTTATTTCAACAATGTCAAAATTAAGAAAGTAAAATCGACCAAGTTTCTTTGCCTGTTTATTGATGATAGAACGTCCTGGAAAATACATACAAATTATTTGTGTTCATTACTATACACAAATGCTTGTGTGATATACAAACTGAAACCTATGTTCCCATCATATGTATTGCAAATGTTGTACTCCACTTTAATGTTGTCCTACTTGAACCAGGCGCGTACGCAGGGCCGGGAGGGGGGTTGAACCCCCCCCCCCCTGGCTTATTTTATGTGCGTGTTTTGGAGTAACCCCCCCCTTGCGATTTTTTTTTTAAATTAACAAAAAAAGAAAAAAGATAATGGGTGACCCCAAAACCTACCCCCCCCCCCGCTTAGTTGCGAAATTTTCGGCGTGATTTAAAAATTTAACCCCCCCCCCCCCATTGAAAAAATCCTGCGTACGCACCTGACTTGAACTATGGTATTCTTGCCTGGGGTAGTTCATTGAAACTTCAACTGGACAAAATCCTGGTTGTTCAAAAAAGAGCAATACGAACAATTTGCAATGTACCTATTCGTACTCACTCTAGCCCTCTTTTCTTCGAAAACTGAAATGTTATTATTTGAATACATATTGTCATTCCTGATTCCTGACTATTCTTGTCTCCAAGCTGTATACTTTTGTTCATTACAATGAGTAAATAACGGTATGACCATGCCAACTGTGTTTATAATATACTCATATCGAGAACACACTATATTGTAATATTGTTTCAATAAGCTGCATATATTCCCTTCCCTTTCCCTTGTCTTTTGTAGTTAATTGTGAGTATCGGTTCATGTATCCCTGTAATCGCCCTTTCCCTAGTTTAGCGTGTATTTGTATTTTATCAACTTTACTTTGGTTGTAATTTGTAGTTTAATCAAGGAGCCTATCCACAACAAGCTCTGCTTTTCCATAGGCTCCGCCACTATATCTCTTAATTTAAGGTCAACTCAATGAACAATATTCTGAATAGTGTGTACCGGTATTGTAATTATTGTAATTATAATCATTTTCAATAGGTTGTTACACTCTTTGTAAAATGAGATATTGTGGAAACCAATAAACTATCTAATTAATTGGCTTGACAGTCCCTTTCCTTTGAGGCCGCCATCCTAGTCAAGCATCGCTTAGGATTGCGGTCTCCTGCTCTTTTTTCTAGAGAGTTCGGATACTAGTTTAAGTGTATAATAATAGGTTACAGAAATATTAAGTTCGTTATTCTATTTTTATATGCAAATAACAATTTGACATGAAGTTATTATTGTTTGTATATTTTGTATTATACCTTACGTGTATATGTTCTTGTTCTTCAGTTATTCTATTTGGAAATATGCAAAAATATAATCAAAATCAAGTGTCAAATCAAGTGTCAATAATTTGTTGGATACTTAACGATAAAACAGATTAAGCAAAAAAAGTACACCTTATAAATTGAGAGCATATGAACAATCCCCTTTTCACGATCACCTCGTCCTCCGGAAGTTGTAGTTAATTCTCATAAAATGAAAACCGCGTGATATTTCACACAAGAAGCTCTTTTTCGTCAATTCAGCTTTGACTCACTTCTCACATAAAGGCATCGTTTAACAATGTTAAATCTGAGATGCACGACCCTACGTGTTATCAGTGTCCCAATAGACTGTAGTGTTATGAAAACCGTTTGGCAAACGCAAAATTTGGTTTCAATTTCCAATCATAAATATCTTGATAATCAGACAGGCGATCGGCTTGTAAATTTCATAGAGTTCCTGACTGACCTAAATGTTTATAATTATGATTGCAGCATGAGCTAAATCTAGGATTTTGTTTCAGAATCTGAGACAAAGTTACCGGGTCCCTTTAATATCCAAATACCAACTGTTCCAATATATCTCAGAAGCATGATGAATTTTGTCAACTTCAACACCGTATACGCATGCATGTCTCTTTTCAGAAGCTGCTTTGATCTTTTTTCCCTTTTTTTTCCTCCCCGACTCACGCAGATAGTTCATTCCACGCCCTGATAATTTACAAAAACCTCGTGCTTCTGATGCTTTATGCACTCACGGATTTGGAGGGGAAAAAATCACATTAATCTTGAAAATATCATCAACCAAATAGTGCAGGGTGAAACGTAAAATTATTTACTAGCATAGACCACGGAGGTCCATGCATAGACTGATGGAGGGATTTTACACGTAAAAAAAAACAGAAATCAGAAATAATGGATGGATGACAATTTATCGGACAAATGATAAGAAAATGTAAACAGTCGTAGAACATTGCACGCAAAACACACATTTGATATCTATGGACTCTATATACACAGTGCCTTTTCAGTATCAGACGATAAGAAAAAGGAGAAAAAAAAATCACCCAAGAGTTTTCGTAGCAAATATAATATAGAACTTTTTTTGTATTCTTAATACATGAAAATATTTTGTTGTTGTTGGTTAGAGTTACGTAACATGACAAGTTAAGGGTAACCCTCGGAAGCTTGAAATTATAACCATATCTTTTACTGGTATGATTCACCTGGTATGTTCAGGAGGTCTGTCATGTTTTATTCTCGGCTTAACTTGAGATAAAGGATCAATTAATCTATCCAAGGTAGACCTTCCGCTTCTCTTAATTAGAACAATGAGTATTAGCTTTGAGCCATACGCTACATGACATTGCATGTTGGTGCATGCACAGCGGTTGCTACATTGAGAACCATGCTTCGTTAGCCATTTGCCTTGCAAGTTTGTTAATTCTTTACCAATTCTTCATGACTGGACATTACATTAAGGGATTAAGAGCATATTGTGACTAAAAATAATATGTGATCAAAAGTTGGAATTAATTCGGACAAATACTCGACTGGAGCGTGATTTTGAGGTAATCGATTTGATCATCAATTGCTCGATGTGAATAATATACGGGTTTTAACTTTATTATATATCATATTCACCAATACATTTTATGTATTTAAACATATTTATTTGAGTATAAGCGTCAATCTTCAGTGTGGAAAATCTAGATTGAAATTCTTAGCCAAAGGAGGACACTGGAATAATGAGCTCAAAATCTTTCCTGTCGTATTCCTTTCGTCTTGGTTGTGCCTGGTTTGTAACTGTAGCAAGCATCTCCTTGAGTATCAGCTACCTGAATTCAATACCCCGTTACGAATCGAAGCCTCAAGACCGAAAGTTGGTTGAGAAAGCCGAGAAGTTCGAAGTGTACAATAGACGGGAATGTGCTCCTTGCTCCACTGCTGAAAGTGATACTCGTCATCACTATCCTCATCTTGGCGAATTTCAGAATGCACAAATTGATATTGAACGATGGATACCTCCTGTTGATGAACTGTATGATAGGCTTCGTATCATAACTGCCATTTCTCAGAACCATTATGGAGAGGTCATGCCTTGGATTGCTACTATTCAGGAGTTCATGCCAGAGAAAACCATCATCCTCTACAACATGGGATTAAATACGACCTCTCTACAAAATGTCAAAAACTTGTGTAATGTTCAGGTGCGAGAATTCCCTTTCAGCTCCTATCCGAAACATGTCAAGAATCTGCACACGTACGCCTGGAAACCAATCATAATTGATATAACCTTGCGGGAATTTGGCGCCATTTTCTGGGGAGATTCGTCAATCCGCCTCAAAGCCTCCCTGCGGAATCTAATACCAATTTCATTGAAACACCATGGATACATGACACACTTTCATGGCTTCGATCCCAAGATAAAAGAAGAAATTCAACATCAGTACTATTTCACTCATCCCCAACTCTACGCTAACCTAGGTGTTAATAGAACAGAATACTTTCAATCAGAAAACTTGGCGCCGCACGCTGCCGCAAATCGTCAACTCTACCTGAACAGCTCATACGTACATGAAACCATCGTACAACCCATGTTACAATGTGCTCTGCGGTATCGCTGTATCTCACCGCGTGGAGCAAAACTACCGAAGCATCGTTTCGACGCCTCAGTACTTGCTATTTTGATCTATAAGAACCTGAAAGGCGAGTGGACTAGAACGAATAATGACAACCGTGCATTTGATGAGGTGGTGTACCTTCGCAAAAATACGGTGGGAAATGAGAAGGTCCAAACATGTTTGTGATTGTATTGATCGCATATGTCTCTTGGAAGTGCCATTAAGTTTTAAGTTTAAGTATGTCAATTACCTTTGGAATTAAACAATTAGATATGCGGAATATCTGCCCAATTTATACACGCATTATGATTGTATGTGCGACGGGGAACGGATATGATAAGAGTAGGGAGATGTATGCCACCCTTCATTTGTTCATGAATATTATGGGAGAAAAGATGAGATTTTAACATAATTATGTTTCCTTTGATTTCAGAAGATATTCCATTTACTTTTACATAACTTTCCGAAAGTCAAGAAGAATCACGGTTAGGAAACTGTAAAGTGTAAAAGTTAGGACATTTTCTATTTTTTTAAAAACAATTCGTGGACTACACTCCTGTACATAATATCACATTTGTGTTTAAAACAATTGAGTTAAATCACCGTATACGCTGGGGAATTTAATCCGGTAATATGTGACTGGATATACATTAGAATTTGGTGAATATGAATACTTACCATGAAAAACCATGATATACCCGACAAAATCTGAGTTCTGGCATCCTAGAAAATGACGAATTGAGAATATTAGAACCATTCAGAAATGTACATACATAGGATGAAGCTAATAGCTAGCTATACAGTGCGTCCTAGAAAAAACGAAACCGAGAACTATCGATGTTTTATCATAACTTAATCACAATTATAATCAATAAATGACACATATTTGGAAAGCTTAGATCCTCCTCCTTCATTGATGCAACTTATATGATGCATTTTTCACGCATGAGTGATTAAAAGCAATTTGAAGAGAGGAAACCAACAAGTCATTTGGCGGGCGGTATCTGAATTTTAAAGGGAAAATCACATTTCTAGAAAGGTCAATTTCTGCCCTTTCATAATGACACCTCAATCAGGAAAAATGAGCAAGGAATAACAAAGTTCTCTTTGTTTAAAATAATGCTTGCATTTCCATAACTTAATCAAACTAGTTCGTTTTAACAGGCTGCCTGCTGTAGCAACAAACAGCGTTGACAAAAGACTTAACTCCGTTTGTTGACGATTAGCCATGCACAAAGAAGACGACAGACCTGATGCATGGCTTCAACGAAACGGAGTTAAGTCTTTTGTGATGTGATTTTCTCCTTGAAATTCAGATACCGCCGGCCAAATGACTTTTTGGTTTCCTCTCTTCAAATTGCTTTTAATCACTCATGCGTGGAATATGCATCATATGAGTTGCATCAAATGAAAAAGGAGGATCTAAGCTTTCCAAATATGTGTCATTTATTAATTACAATTGTGATTAAGTTATGATAAAACATCGATAGTTCTCGGGTTCTTTTTTTCTGGGACGCACTGTATAATCATTTCCAACGCAATTTTTGTACTAGATATTTTGAAATATTATTATTCATTATTTAAAGTAATGAGGGTGTTACGTACATCTATGACTGAAATAACTGTGATAATTAGTGAATTAACAGTAATGGTGGCAATGTTACAACCTTGCATCAATATCAGTCATCTCATATTCCTATAGGTATAAATTAAAGATAAGCTTGAGTTCTGGTAATGATAGAAAATAAATTCTCGCAACATCCAACAAAACTCACAATGAAGAATAATAATAATAATATTGGATTCTTATATAGCGCACGTATCGACCTTGCAACGTTCAATATTACAAATAAATGACATGGACCAAAAGATTTTGGTAGACAATGTATAGGGGCTGAGTAATGAGCATAGAAAGATAATAGGAAATCAAGGTATAAGTAGGCCCGACACAATGCGCTTTAAAGCCCCTCCAAAGTTTTGGAAGCCCCACAAATGTCACTTAAATGTTATCATAATGTGAAAGAGGATGTAATTTAAGACACATTTCTGCAAGGATTTTCAAAACAAATGTGTTTGAAGTCGAAGGATTAATGAAAGAATACAACATTTAGGTTTTCTGCGTACAACAGAAAACCCAAAATAAGTATTCTTTTATCAATATTTGTCTTCAAATTGACTTTCGGGAAATCTTTGCAGAAGTGTGTCTTAAATGACACCCTCTTTTACATTATAATATACAATTTAAGTGAAATTTTGCCGTCGATTTTTTTGGCGAATTTGGAGCTCCCAACATTTTAGAGGTGCTTTAACACAGGTCACTATATGTGCAAAATGAGAGTTGTGCTTTTTATTGAAGATGATTTCCAGCAAGTTTTTGTGAGTTTCTTATAATTTACTTGTTCAAACAATCAATCTACTGCAGGATAAACAATCCAGAAAGAATTAGAGCCATGTTCTCTCGGCATACGATTCCTATACCAGAGCTCAAGATTAGTTCGTTTATTTTGTGAGTAGGCCTGTACACAAATTTATTGACAATAAAATATGAAGCTTATTCCACATACTGCAGTCGATATCTTTTGTTATTATCCCTTCGCGAAAACTTGATTATTCTGCAATATTTTTTTCTCAATAATGTTCCACAAATTAACAAAATATAGGTTCATAGTCATTTTAGTACACAATAAAAGAGTATTCCGACCATGACATCATAATATTGGCCGTATTGCCTATGGGAGTGATAGAAAACGTGTCATTTACGAGATCTGAAATTGCCATAAGATGAAGGGTCAGGTTAAAGAGAACTGGTCCGCCATCTTGGACGAAAGGTCTTTCTCTGACGTCATATCCAGTATCCAGTAGATGACGTATGAGGCGCCCTTCTTCACCTTGTTGACTTCCATTCCCTGTGCGCGTTTCAGCATCTAAAAATGGAATCGTGTGTAATTGAGATTGCAAATAGCATAGAACAAAATATGAATTGCAAAAAAAGAAGCTAATTCACACGAGGTGTATGATAATTGTTAAGTCAAGGGGCCCCTCACGTCTTACTGATCAAAATGTTTTTTACATCAAATTGTCTACCGCGCAACGGTACGCGGGTGCAAATAAAAATTCCTATAGACTCGGGCCATAGTGTACAAACAACAAACATTGAGAACATCCAAACGTAAGAAATACCAACAACAGATAGCTAAACAAATGTTTTTTCAATATGCCTGCAGTTTAAAGACGATGCATAATCATAGCTTTTAGTGGCGGATCCAGATTCTTTGAAAACATGGAAGAGGGGGGGGGGGGGAGAGAGAGAGAGAGAGAGAGAGAAAGAGGGAGGGCGGGAGAGAGAGAGAGAGAGAGAGAGAGAGAACGAAGATGTTCTATTCCAGAGCCATGATAGGGTCTTAATATCCCCTGACCATAAATACAAATAAATGAAAAAAGATTAACAGAAAATGGGTGTTCCTAAAATTTAATATGCACGTGATCCGCAATAATTATTCATCACAATTCGTTTGAACAGTCGTGATAACCTCTTAACACTGTTTATTTTTTGTATTTTTTTGTATTGACATGCTGTCTTATATTGATGGTATTACAATATGTACAGTGGTTAAAAATGCTCATTTATTGCTTCCCTCCACATGGCAGTTATTTATTAACGTGTTAATAATGTCATCAGCCAATCTTATTGTACACACAGAGAGTATTACAAATTTTCTTAATTAACATCATACATCGACAGGCAATTACCACGACATATTGGCCTAATTTTAATCTAAATACGTCATAAATGGTGCAATGATATAGCGTGGTCATATTTGTGCAATGTCAGTGCCTGTCATTGTGTTCAATATTTTGTATGGAGACAGACGAATTTGACGGATCTATATTGAAATAGATATAATAACGAGTTATGGCCGCGAACCCAATCCTGCGGTAATTAACAACCATGACAATAAAACGTTTCCATAATTATATCAAATTATATAGCACAGCTAGTATATATACTGCGCTGTGAACAAGAAAAGAACTCCCAACAGTTCTACTTCATAAACACACATTCAGAATCTTCTGAAAACAAGTGCGTCTTCAACAAAACTGTAAAGACAGCAACATTGAAGAGCATTCGTAAAACGCTGAGCTTGAATTAAAAAGTAAAAGTAGGAAAAGAAGAAAGTGGAGAGGTATATACAGTGCGACCCAGAAAAAACGAATCCGAGAATTATCGATGTTTTATCATAACTTAATCACAATTATAATTAATAAATGACACATATTTGTAAAGCTTAGATCCTCCTCTTTCATTTGATGCAACTCATATGATGTATATTTCACGCATGAGTGATTAAAAGCAATTTGAAGGAAGGAAACAAAAAAGTCATTTGGCGGGCGGTATCTGAATTTCGAAGAAAAAGTCACATTTCTAGAAAATTCAGTTTCTGCACTTTCAAATGACACCTCTATCAGGAAAATTGAGCAAGGAATTCAAAATTCTGTTTGTTTGAAATCTTTCGTCTATGTCTGATCGTCAACGAAACGGAGTTAAGTCTTTTGTAAATTCCGTTTGCTGCTACGGCAGGCAGCCAGTGAAAACGAATTCGTTTAATCAGCGCCGGTTGGAGAAGGTAGGTGGCGGGAGTGGCTCGACGTTTCGAGCAGGTTGAATATCCGTCGTCAGGAGACTATTCCCTTATGACGAAATGTATGCTTCTTGAGTAAATGGTGATCATGGTTAAACAGAATAGTTGCCACACACATTGAAAACATAAACAAATACAATTTTGTGAACAAAGAAAAATAATATAAATTCGACAGGTATGTTTTAGATCATGGGATTAATCTTATATGTGAAGTGTTTTCACTGACGTGTTATAATCATTCGGAGTTTGGAGATATAAGAGCTAACAACCTCCTTTGCTTCTTTACTTGTAAAAATATAAAGTAAAGGTTGAATCCAGCCACTGAAACCACCTAACAAATCTGAATATCCAGCGGCTTTGCCCTTCGTAATTATCCATGGCAATCAGCATACATAAAACGAGATAGTCAAGATCAGTATGGTCAAGACCTTTCCAGGCAAACGCCATGGCCTAACTCTAGGTGCTCCGTTGATCATGGGGATCCAATCGAGTCGACGATTCTGTTGGCATATTAGCCGTAAGATGATGATGTTAACAGTAGTGGTGACTAGTAGGCCGATTATAATTGGAGAAATGAATTAAGCGACTATTAAGCTGCCTGGTCATTCGAAACTGTTACCATTTGAGCACGATGCGGTGTGGTAGTCAAGCAAAGGATGCAGCCATGGTAATAATGGAATATTAATTAGAAGCGGA